AATATCATATGATTAAGATTTAATTAGGTTGTAAAACCATTTCATCAACTTAGAATGATTAAAGGTTCCTTCAATCACAATAGCTTATAAAACTTAGCATTAGGGATTAATAAATATTTTACAATTGATAATAATGATAAACAATAATTTCATGATCAAAAATCTTCATATATTGATTTCTAATTGACCGTATACCTCGTAACGTTTAGAAAGCAACGTCGATGATAATGATCTATTCTTATTATTATTATTAAAATTTATTGTTAAAAATGTTAATAAGATGATTAAAATCAATGTGTTGATCTTGGTTTTCAAAAAAAATTTGATCTAAACAAATTGAAAATGGACATGAATACATCTTCATAAAAATTCTGATATAAAAAAAATTGCATGAGATTATAAAATTAATTTGCCATAAAAATTCAATTATTATAGCAAAATATCAAATCTAATTAGAATCATCATTAATTTTTCTCTATATCTCTCTGAATTAGGCAATCTTTATTAGGATTTCTGCCACACCATATATATTTCCTAATCAACTTCTAATAATTGTATATAAGTCTAGTAAATTAATTTGAAATATTTCTTTACAGAGGTGTATTTTTATTAATTAAAAAAACTGTTAAATATTTTAATCCTCTAATAAATCTGTAGTAATTAATATCTACTATTTTACCTCTAAATATGTATTAGGTCTGTTTTATAAAATATAATATAGCTATTTTCAGTTCTTTAAAGATTCAATATTAGAAATATATATTTACATTTAATTATTCTAAAGAAATTGCCCTTTATTAATGTTTAATATTTCTTAAAAATACCTTAATTCTACTTCTTTCCTGTAATTTTTATTTATAATATCTAATCATAAATATGAGTCTTATATCTAAAATTAAAATTTGGTAAACTGATTATCATTAATAATTAGAATTGTTTGGTACAAATAAAATAATATCTGTAGAGTGCTTAGGCAGTTTAGATATTGAAGGATTGATAATTAATAATGAAAATAACTAAATTCTTTGCTGATATTCAATTATAAATTTTCTAATAGAATTTCAAACATTTAAATTTGTAATACTATCAATATTTCTCTGCAATAATATAAGCTTAAGGAAATGAGCAAAGAATTTTATGGGTTCCATTGTGAACATGCTAGGAGATATTATGATGGAGGCTGGTATGAGGGAAGTTGGGTATATAATCAAAGGCATGGAAAGGGTTAAATAAAAATGGATGATGGAAATGAATATAATGGAGATTGGAAAAACGATCTAATCCATGGATATGGTTAATATAAATGGGAAAATGGAGATGAATATGAAGGAGATTGGGTACGTCATCAAATGCATGGAAGGGGTAAATTAAAAATGGCAAATGGAGATGAATATGAAGGAGATTGGGTACATCATCAAATGCATGGAAGGGGTAAATTAAAAATGGCAAATGGAGATGAATATGAAGGAGATTTAGAAAATAGTAAGAAAAATGGGAATGGTCAAATGATATATGCTGATGGATCTGTATATAATGGAGATTGGTTAGATGATAAAAGACATGGATTTGGTGAATATGAATCAGCTAATGGTATAAAATATAGTGGTTAATGGCTTAATGACAAATAAATTTGATGTTTATTCATTTTATAATCTAAATATTATTTACATAAC